TATTCTCCAAATGGATCTACAGATTTAACACAACCCCCATCAAAATCCCAGCTGCCTTTTTTTGTGTAAATTGACAAGCTGATCCTAAAATTCATAGAGAAATACATAGGACACAGAAGGACCAAAACAGTTTTGACAAGGAAGAACAAAGCTGTAGGTCTCATACTTCCTGAATTCAAAACTTACTATAAAGATACAGTAATTCAAACAAGATGGTGCTGGCGTAACAATAGACATATATATCCATGGAATTGAATTGCAGTCCCATAAATAACCCCTAACATATATGCCCAAGTGATTTGCAACAAGGGTTCCAAGCTGTTGGATGAGGGAAAAGATAGTCTTTTCAACAAATGGTGCTGGAAAAACTGATATCTACTTTTAAAAGAATGGAGTTCGACCTTTATATCATACCATATACAAAAATCAACTCAAAATTGACCAGAGACAAATGTAAGGGCTAAAACTATAAAACTCTTAAAGAAAACAGGAGTAAATCTTTGTGACCTTGGATTAGGCAGTGGTTTTCTAGATATGACGTTAAAAACGTAAGCAATAAAAGAGGCAATGAATAAATTGGATTTCCTCAAAATTTGAAACTTTTGTGCTTCAAAGGGTGCCATCAAAGGAAGTGAAAAAGGCAACTTACAAATGAGAGAAAGCATTTATACATCATAAATCTGACAAGGGTCTGGTATACAGAGCATATAAAGAACCCTTACAAGTCAACAATGAAAAGTCTAATACCCAATTTAAAAGTGAGCAAAGAATTTGAATAGATATTTCTCCAAAGAAGATATATAAATGACCAACAAGCACACAAAAATATCATCAACATCATTAGTCATTAGGGAGATGCAAGTCAGAACTACAATGAGATAACCACCTCACTCCCAATAAGATAGGTTGAAAGAAAAAGATGGGCAATAACAAGTGTGGGTAAGGATGTGGAAAAATTAGAACTTTTATGCATTGCCGATGGGAATGTAAAATGGGGCAACTGTTTTGCAAAACAGTCTGTCAGTTCCTCGAAAAGTTAAACATAAAGTTACAATATGACCCAGTAATTCTACCTCCAAGTATGTAACGAAGTGAATTGAATATGTGTCCGCACAAAGACTTATACACGAATGTTCATAGCATTTGTGTTCATTATTCACACTAGCCAAAAAGGGGAAACAGCCCAAATGTCCATCAGCTGATGAGTGGGTAAACAAAATGTGGTCCATCCATGCAGTGGACTGCTACTCAGCCATAAAAAGGAATGAAGTTGTGATCCATGCCACAACATGAATGAACCCTGACAACATTATGCTAGCAAAAGGGGACAGAACCAGAAGTCACATATTGTATGATTCCATTTATATTAAATGTCTAGAATAGAGACAGAAAGTAGATTAGTGGTTCCTGGTTGGGAGGGGTCATGGGGAGTGACCACGAATGGGTGTGTGATTTCCCTTGGGGTGATGAGAATGTTCTGGAATTAGATGGAAGTGATAGTTCCACAATGTGATGAGTAAACTAAAAAACATTGAATTATATACTTTGAAAGAGTAAATTATACTTCAGTTTTAAAAGTTTAAGGAAAGAGTTATTGAGCACCTACTGCGTGCCACCCACTGTTCAGGTGCTGGGCTAGCCACCGGGATCTAGCTCCTCCCTTTCCTGGGGCTCACATTCTAGTGTGGGGGTAAAACAGACAATACCCGACAAACAAGTGAGTATATACTATGCTAACAAGAAAAGTACATAACCTGCTAAGAAAGAAGCAGCGTGAGGGACAGAGTGGTGGGAGAGGTGTGCTGTTTTACATGGGGTGGGCCAGGGAAGCCCTGCTAAGAGGGTGAGGAAGATCTGCGGTGTGAAGGAAGTGAGGCAGTGCAGCTCTCAGGGGGACATCTTTCAGGCAGAGGGAATAGCGGTGAAGCTGGAGTGTGCCTGGGGAGCAGGCCATTGCAGCTGGAGGAGAGTGAATGGCTGAGCGGGGGGAGAGTAGTGAGGGGAGGTGTGTGTGTGTGTGTGTGTGTGTGTGTGTGTGTGTGTGTGTGTATTGTGTTCATGCAGTGTGTGTGTAGAGTGTGTTTGTAGTGCGTTCGTGTGAGTTTGTGTGTGTAGTGTGTGTTCGTGAGTGTGTATGTAGAATGTGTGTAGAGTGTGTTCATGTAGAGTGTGTAAAGTGTGTGTGGAGAGAGAGTGTGTCGAGTGTGTGTAGAGTGTGTAAAGTGTGTGTGTGGAGAGTATATGTGTAGAGTGTGTACGTGTAGTATGTGTGGAGAGTGTGTGTGGAGAGTGTTTAGGTGTGTGTGTAGATACAGTATGTGTAGAGTGTGTACATGTAGTGTGTGTGTGTAAAGTGTGTAGGTGTGTGTAGAGTATGTGTAGAGGGAGAGTGTGGAGATTGTGTACATGTAGTGTGTATGTAGAGTGTGTAAAGAGTGTGTGTGTGGAGAGAGATAGTATGTAGAGTGTGTATGTGGGGTGTGTGTGTGTGGAGTGTGTAAAGGGAGAGAGAGAGAGTGTGTGTGTGTGTGTGCGTGTGTGTGTGTGTCTGCAGTGGGGACTATTGTGTGTGTTTAGAGGCTGTAGCTAAGAACTTTGCACTGGGTTTTGCGTTTTGCTCTGAATGAGATGGGAAGCTATCAGATGGTTTTGAGTAGAGAATGGACATGATCTGATTTAGGGCTAATCCCTCTGTCTGCTGGGGGAAGAAGAGCTGGTAGGGAACAAGAGCAGGGGACAGGAGTGCGAGTGAGGTCACACTGGTTAAGCTTTTGCAAAAATCCAGGCGAAAGATGATGGAACCTTGGGCCAGGGAATGAAAGTGGAGATGTGGAGAAGTGAGCAGATTCTGGGTGTGTTTTGAAGGGATGCCTCTAAGTCTCCTCCTAATCCATTCATGGATCAATATTAGAAAGTCAGGCCACCTGAATGGAAAGCAGCTCTTCCTTTTCAAAGGTGTATTTCAGAAGAGTTGGAAGGAGACAGGAGATAGACTGTGGCTCACACTCAATGTGTTATCACTGTTTGTCCCTATCAAACCTTCCCCCCCGTTGACCAACTGAACATTTGTGTGTTCTTCAAATGAAGGGCTCAGCATCTCTTTGAATGATCCAGAGCCTCCTCCATTCAAGTCCCACCTCCCTTTTCTTCTCCTTTGGTAGGTTGTGTGGATTCTTCTCGGCTTTCTCTGGGAGCAGTGCCTGGTTCCACCTCAGCCTCTTGCAATTCCTGATTCTTCAAGCGGTGCCCTTTTATCCTCTGTCAGGCACCCTTGCAAAGTTTCTCCCTGTGACCCCGAGTTTATGAATAGTCTCTAATGTTGCAATTTACAGAGCCTCACAGAATCTCTGTCCATTAGCCATGCAGTGCTGTTCAAATGATGTATGTCCTGACAACTTTTCGGGTTCCTGACATACTTCCTCCCACCCCATAAATTCCTCCATCACTTATAGCCTCCTCTAGTGGTTCCCAAGTTAGCCTCACTGTTTTCCCTACCACAGTGCCCCACTTCACTGAGGATCCACGCTCATCTGGAATAGCAGGGCAAAAACATTCACTGCTTCGCAATGCATGCTATGAAGCTTGAAATCAACCACAGGAAAAAGTCTGGAAAACCTCCAAAAGCATGGAGGTTAAAGAACACCCTACTAACGAATGAGTGGGTCAACCAGGCAATTAGAGAAGAAATTAAAAAATATATGGAAACAAACGAAAATGAAAATACAACAATCCAAACGCTTTGGGACGCAGCAAAGGCAGTCCTGAGAGGAAAATACATTGCAATCCAGGCCTATCTCAAGAAACAAGAAAAATCCCAAATACAAAATCTAACAGCACA